TTCACAAGTTTTTCATCATTTTTTTGTGTTTTTTTTCATAGAGTTTTTGTTTTAGATTTATTACTTTAAAGTTGTACCGGTTGCAGTGGTAGTGTTAGTAGTGTGTAGTGTTTGTTTTTCATTCTTTACTTATAGCTTTTCTTAAAAAGTGGCTTTACATCATTGGTTTTATGTTTATTTTATGTGTTTGTATGTTATTTATTCGTTCATTCGTTTGTACGTTCATTCGTTCATTCATTTGTTCGTTCCTTCGTTCGTTCGTTCAACCATTTAAATAATCTTTCATCCTTCTATTCATTCATTATTTTATTCATTCAATTTTCACTTATTTGTTGACTCGACTCAATTAATTAATCATTCATTCATTAATTCATTCCAACGTTCATTCATTCATTCGTTCATTCACTCATTCATTCATTCATCCATTCACTCATTATTTACCCATTCATTCGAACGTTCATTCATTAATTCATTCGAACGTTCATTCATTCATTCATTCATTCATTCATTCATTCATTCATTCATTCATTCATTCATACATTCTCTTGTATAATTGTATGTTAGTGTTACTCTCAGATAGATAGATAGATGGATAGATTGCTATTCACATGTCAGCCATTGATTATGTTCTTTCCCAAATTCTTCCCTTCGTTTATAACTAAATTGTAGTAGTAGCATTATTGTTATTGTTATTATTATTGTTGTTATTATTTTTATTATTGTTATTATTATTATTATTATCCCCCCCTTTAATTCATCCAGTTATTTATTGAACTCCGACGCATCAAAAAGTGCTCGGCTGCTAGAGACGGAATATTTGTACTTGAGGAATATGGTGAGGTTATGATGATGATGATGATGGTGGCGATGATGATGACGAAGACTACAATGATGGTGATGATGGCGATGATGATGATGATGATGATGATGACGACTATGATGTTGAAGATGATAAATACACACAATACAAAAGACACACGCAGGCGGGCGCGCTTGTAGATACATATATGCGTAAGGCAATACATACATGCGTACATAGATTTACACACACACACACAGACAAACATACACACACCCAGACAAACATACACACACATACATATACATACACGTACACGCACATACACACTTACTTCGTTCAAGTTTAGCATATATTTTTCAAAAACTTAGAATCGGTAAACTTTTTCTAGAAAATGATTAGTAGCTAATAGAAATCATACCTTTTTTTTTAAGTTAAATTAGATTTTATATTTATTTTGCTTATTGAATCGTCTATTTATTATGTTAAAATTCTTATAAAATTATCAAATTCACCCAAAACTGGCTGCCTAATCGTAAAACTGGAAAATTTAGAACATTCCTGGGCTAAAATTGACGGGAATACACAATGTACATATATGTATATATATATATTTTTACAATATTCTATAAATTCTACCGAATTTTTGACGTTAATATGTTTGTAGTTCGTTTAAATATACAAACTACAAACATATTAACGCCAAACATTCGGTAGAATTTATAGAATATTGTAAAAATTATGGTCTTTTACCAACATATATATATATATATATATATATATATATATATATATATATATATATACCCTAACTCTGACCTTAGGTCATGAGGTCACCCTTGTTTATTGTATGTAGTAATGGGAATCAAATTTGTTTTGACAAACTGTCAGTTTTTTTAAATATTTTGGCTAAAAATGAAATGTAAATTCTTGTAAAAATTCTTGTAAAAACTTGAATTTGTCTTATTTACTCTTCTTCTTCTTATTATTAATTTATTAACTTATTTATTTATTAAAATATTTATAATAATTATTATTATTATTCCCTGATTTAGATTTCAAAACTAGGAAATCTGTAATAAGAAAGTACAGATCCAACATGGTAAATAACGAATGGACAACTGGATGAATGAATGAACGAACAAACGAATGATAGAATGAATGAATGAATGAACGAATGAATGAATGAACAAACGAATGAACGAACGAATGAGTGAATAAATGAACGATTGAATGAATAGACTATAACAAATATCAGTAGGTATTTGAGAGCTAATGTTTTAATGCATCTTAGATATTTTCCAGCTTTATTATTAGTTATCAACCAACAGCAAGAGTCATACCTCACAACAAACAGATAAATAATTGAATAATAATAATCTAATTGCTCCTCTATTTATTAGTACAAATCGTTTCAACTATTAATTCTGAAATGAAATTTGATATATTTTAAAATTCCAGACATCGCAGATCTGTTACGCCATCCTCTGCGTGTTCTCATACGTTGCGGCGGGCATGGGCCAAAACAACAACAATAATAATAACAACAATAATAATAATAACAACAATAATAATAATAACAATAATAATAATGTGATTATCATTAACGATAATAATAATAATAAGAATAATAACATTGGCGCTAAAAGCCACGCTACAACTGAGAACGATGAAAACAACAACATTAGCAGCAACAACAACAACATCAACAACGCCAACAACAACTTTAGCAACATCAACAACAACACAGATAATAGACCATTAACTACCATACCCATATTTAAGCCTAGAGCTATATAGTATTAGATAGTTGATAAGGAAATATGTATTTATCTAATTATATAACTATATATATATATATATATATATATATATATATATATATATATATATATATATATATATGATTTTGGGTTTAGACTATTATAAATACAATTATATATAAAGACCACTGCGTTTTCGGCATTATTCAACTTGTAGTTGAGTTTCTCAATTTTTCTAACGAGACTTTCATCATCTTAATGAATTTCAATTCCGATTTTTTTTTTCAATAATATTTGGTTTTTTTAAAGTGACAGTTGAGTCCTAAATTAAGAAATTCTTTTTCTTCGTTTGTTAGGACAAGATGATACAAGTTGAATAATGCCGAAAACGCAGAGTGATCTTTATAAATAATTGTATATATATATATAATTGTATATATTTATATGTAAATTGTTTATTTATATGTATGTGCAGATTTATATGAATATATGTATTTGTATAGGCATAATGTCATATGTATTTCCTTGCTTATATTCCATTGTCTTTTCTCTACTACTACTAGCTCCTTTGCACAGTTATGCATGCATATACATGTACATTTATAAACACATACACACACACACACACACACACATACATTTACACAATCGTGCACAAATGCGTACGTATCAAAATCGAGCGTTCTCCATTTGTACATACATAAATACATGCATACATTGGTTTTATTCACATTTTATTCATTCCATTTTTGTGTTATGTTTCAAGATAGATGTTTAGTGAATATTTAATTGTATATAACCACACAGACACGTACACACACGCACATAAACATACACACAAACATAACGACACACACACACGCACTCCAATATGTGTAGATATTTTGAGTGTTACATTTATAAGAAATGAGTATGAATTAGATATAGATAGAACTGTTTTAATATGTACATTGTACATATACATTATTTGCATTTAATTAATTTTGTATGTGTGTGCGTCTTTGTTTGTATGTGTGCGTGTGTGTATGTATATATTACCAGCATGCTTCAATCCTTAAAAGAATTCCATTTTATAATACAAATTCCTTTGCGTTTGTTTAATTCTATTCATTTAATTATTAATTTATGTATTTATTTATTTACTGATTTACGTATTCATTTATATATTCATTTATTTATTTTATTAGTTTGCAATAAATCATTCCACCAAGGCAGGGGTGGGCAATTACGGCCCGCCAAGCCTAAAAAAGGTCGTCAACCAGACATTATGACCAAAAAAAGGAGCCACAAATCTTGAAAAAATTCTTCCCCGGGTCGAAAAAATATGCTGTTTAAGTACATTTGCGGCCTTTCAAAGGCAAAATAGCTCTCAATGCGGCCCTCACAGCCAAATGCTTGCCCATCCCTGCCCCGAGGCATTAGGCATAAAGATTGATGACAACCTCAGTTCTTCAACGTTAAAAATGTTTTTCCACTCAGGCATTCATAAATTCCTAAATTTACACATATACACGCACTCTGCTGGTTTTTGCTGTAGTCTATTATTATTACTATTATTTTTATCTAATTGATCTATAATTAATTTTTATTTATTAATATAATTTTTATCTATTCAACTAATTTACTTGTCCATAAAAAACTCTTACTTGGATTTCCAGCAGGCAATATGTTCTAAGGCAACTGGAAGGACTTCATATTTAATAACGCCAATAATATAAAAACAATATAATACCATAATATATTATAATAAAAATTAAGTTAATTAGCTGAATTTTATACTAAAAATTAATTTAATAAATGCTTTTAATCAAAAAATTACACTCAAATTATGCTTCTAATTGGTTTCTCCGAATTAATTTATTAAATCTTGCTTATGCAGTTTAACGATAATATTTTTGTTAGATGTTCAGTCAATCATTCATTTATTCATTCATTCATTCAATCACAACCTCAGTTGCTAATTCATTTCTACATTCATTCATTCATTTATTTATTAACTCAACCAATCTTTCCAACAATCAGTTAATATGTTAGTTAATATGTATATATATATATATATATATATATATATATATATATATATATATATATATATATATATATTTCATTGTCAATTCAAATAGAATAGATATAAATATAAATGTATATATATATATATATATATATACGTATATATACATATATATTTATATATATATATATAATAAAATTACGACTTAATGGTTTATATGTCATTTTTCTAAAATTAATCAAAAAGAATGTTATGCAATCTAATTGGAAGGTAATAAAATCACTTATATATTAAAAAATGTATACAAATAATAATAATAATTAATAATAATAATTAATAATAATGGTGGCATAATTAGCAATAATATGGATAATATCAAAGGTTACAAAATGGTTTCATAATAGAGGAGGCAGCATTACTATAAAAGACCATTATTGGCTACGTTAAAATGATTGGAATAAATTAAACAGATCGGTGTTTCAAAGGACGCAAAGGTTTAAAAATAAACTTAATAAATTAAAGAACATTCGTCAACTCATTTGTTCGTCCAATCGATTATTCAATCAATCATTCATTCGTTCGTTCGCTCGTTCACTCACTCACATAATAAAAAAGTTATTATCATCGATACAAATCCATAAATCAGCATACTTCATGATTGAAAGTTCAAAGGAATACACACATATACAAATATACATACTTACACACACACACACACACACATGCACGCACACACAAACATATATGTATATATATATTTAATATATTTATTTATTCCACTTTTAATTTATGTAAAGGAATGGTTGAAACACGTACTCATATCCATAAACTCCCATCTTTAACAATACCTAAAAGATTTATATATATATATATATATATATTTATATATATAACATATATATATATTTGTATATTTATATATCTATATTAAAAATATATACATATATTTGCTTAGTACAGATACAATCTAAGACTATTCGTTGAGTGCAGTACAAATTTAATGTACAAGCGTAAATATACATACATCATGTTCATACATACACATACGTACGTACGTAGGAATACATACATACACACACACATACACACACACAATTAAATATTAAACAGAATAATTTTTCTAATATTAATTTAAATGGATAGAAAGTGAGAAATGAAGAAGATAATGTTAGAGAGAGGATAAGAAGGGAAACGCCATCTCCTTAGTCAACATCCTGCGACTCACTGGAAAAGTATTAATTAATTAATTAATTATTGTAACAATAATTAAGTGACAGATGTGTAAGGATAATTTTACAGCGTAAACTTCCATGCCAGATGCCAGAGATGTTGTGATACGTCATGAGTGTGTGTTTGTTTGTTGTTATTCTTGACGGCTTTTAAATATATATGTAAATAAATAAACATATATATACATGTAATATGTAAATATATATATATTTATTAATATACACAAAACAAATAAAAAAACAATAATATATATAGATATATATATTTAATATTTTAGGTATAATTATATTATAACGATATTAATTATTTGTATTTAATTATTCGTATTTAATTATTTGTATTTTTCAAGGAGGTATAAAGAACTAACACGGCGCTGAACTGGAGTCTCCTGACTCTAGCAGATAAGTTGATCCTACCACCTAGATGAATTTTCAAAAGAAGGTCATTAAACTACTCATCAACAATCATCTCCTTCTTATTATTATTTTATTATTATTATTTATCATTATTATTATTTATTATTATTCCAATTATCCTTACAATTAATACCATTTAATTATTAAATAAAAAAAAAAGAATAAAATCATAAATCTCGGAACCTCGTGTCCTGTCGATGATGTAGAGGATGATGGTGAACAGCAGGGCGGCTAATTGGGTCGAAGAAATTATAAATTTCTATGCTATCAATAATTATAATAACAATAATTATAATAATAATAATAATAATGATGATAATAATAATAGTAATAATAATGATAATAATAATAACAATAATAGTGATAATGATAATATTGTTTCTATCTTCGAAAATGAATTCATAATATTAGTGACATCTTCAGAGACAAAAAGGACGGCTTGAACATCAGGACATCATCACCAGCATCATCCTCACCATCATCGTCGTCATCACCACCACATCATCATCATCACCACCACATCATCATCACCACCACATCATCATCATCGTCATCACCACCACCACATCATCATCACCACCACATCATCATCATCATCATCACCACATCATCATCATCACCACATCATCATCATCATCATCACCACATCATCATCATCATCATCACCACATCATCATCACCACCACCACCACATCATCATCATCATCATCATCACCACATCATCATCATCATCATCATCATCACCACCACATCATCATCACCACCACATCATCATCATCACCACCACGTCATCATCATCGTCATCACCACCACCACATCATCATCACCACCACATCATCATCATCATCACCACCACATCATCATCATCATCACCACCACATCATCATCATCATCATCACCACATCATCATCATCATCATCATCACCACATCATCATCACCACATCATCATCACCACATCATCATCATCATCACCACATCATCATCATCATCTTTATCATCACATCACCGCCATCACCTCCACATACTAACCACAGAGACAGAGTTGGAAAAATATCTCGAGCATGATGTAACCATAGGAGTCGACGATGACGCCAGCGAGAATTGTGGCCAGAGCTAGTCCGAGGTTTTGTATTGACTGCATTCTGTAGAAAATAAAATTGTAAAGAAAAAAAGACTTTTCACTCGTTCATTCATTCATTCATTCATCCATCCATTCATCCATTCATTCATTCAGCCATCCATTTATCCACCTATTTATAACCAAACGTGCATTCAAACGGTACCCATACGTTCTTTTCACATACAGTTTTATTAAGTTGTTTGGTTACAGTCATTCATCCATTCATTCATTCATTCATTCATTCATTCATTCATTCATTCATTCATTCATTCATTCATTCATTCATTCATTCATTCAATCATTCATTCATTCATCCATTTATCCTCTACTTACATGCCATAAGCAGTTCCAATGAGCTGCTTAGTAACGACCATCGATACAATGGGCCATAACGCACTGGCAAGTATGGAGTATGACAGACCTATTAGGACCTGCAAATGAATGAATGAATGAATGAAGGAGTGAAAGAGTGAGGAAAAGAATGAGTGAAAAAGTGAATGAGTGAATGAATGAATGAATCTGTGATTGTGTCAGTGAATGAACGAATGAAAAAGTGTACTATTCATGAATTGCCTCATCGAAAAAATCGATAAATGAATGAATGACTGTTGTAGCCAAATAAAAAATAAATGAATAGACAAAAAAGAAACAAACCACGGGGTAGTAAGGGGGTATAAAGGTAAAAGCGATGGTCACATGGCAGCATAGGGTCACAAAAACCCCCAAGAAAATCCACACAATATTTCTACCCACCCTGTCGATGCAGAAACCGAAAACAGGGGATGCACAGGCCGCAATTATGTAAACCAGACTGCAAGTATTCATGTTTGTTTGTGTGTGTGTGTATGTTTGTATGCGTGCCTACGTTTGTGTCTGTGTGTGTGTTTGTTTGTATGTATGTTTGTATGCGTGCCTATGTATGTGTTTGTATGTATGTATGCGTGCCTATGTTTGTGTGTCTGTGTGTGTTTGTATGTATTTGTGTATGTGTGCGTGTGTTTGTATATGTTTTAACAAAAAATATTTGGGTGATCGAAGTAACGCGATTTCATCATTTGCAATACGCCTGCATTTAATTGGGGTAGAGATGCAATTAAATCATCATAACATCAATCATTCATTCGACTTATTAAGACCATTGCTAATGTTATCATTAATATCCTGTTAATAATTATAATATAATTATTATTATTATTTTATCTTATTATTGTTGAGATTTTTTTTGCTTACCTGTTGATTAGCGTTGCCTCGTCGTGCGCCATCTCATATTTATTCTGATAGAACACTCTGCAAGAAAATAGGGGTGCGATAATTACATCAATATAATTAATAATAATTAATAATAATAAACAACAATAATAATAATAATAAATACAAATTAGGCATTGTTAGTTGGAAACGATTGATACTATATTTCAATTTCCACTCGAATGAAATGAAACAACGAGAAACATCGACACGATATGGATATATAGACTCCGATTTTAAACTTTAAAATTGGAACATGTTAATTGAACAGATCCAAGATAAGACTAACAAGCCGAGACTTATAAACAAGAAGACAGCTATATAGTAGGCCACACAAATTCCACAGAGAAGCCAAAATGACAACGTAAACTGCTTGAGATCCGACAGTCTAAACTTCCCATCGTCACCATCATTGAGTAAGGGGACATCTTCAATTATGATTATAATTAAATAATAATATTATTAATTATAAGATTAATATTATAATAATATTTATGGTTAATTATGAGCGTAATAAAGTGCAGCTAAAGTTGATAACATCAAAGAGTTAACAAAAAAGACAACAAATATAACAAACCTCCATCATTTACATTATTATTATGTTTATTCAAAATCCTGTCAGCTCTTTTGTTAAAGTAGCCAAGGATGAACGCATTGAACAGTGAGAAGATACAAAAACAGGCTCCTACAATAAGAATAATAAAAATAATAATAATATTAACTTTGTTAATAATAATATTAACTTTGTTAATAATAATATTAACTTTGTTAATAATAATATTATTAACAAAGCGTTAAAGATCGGGTTTTGTGGAGGTCGATGTTTGCCAATGTCCTGATAGGATAAGGCACGAGAACGAATAATATTATTTCAAAATTTTAGCCTAATTATATTTAACAAAAAAATTAATTATGGTAATAATTATCATATTATTATTATTATTATATAGTGACACACTAACCTATGAGCAAAGTGATACCAAGACATTTATTGCCATGTGTTGAGGCACTACTATCAATTGCATTGTATATGGGGTTTAATGATACCATGCCAATTGTGCTACCCTGTATAAATGTATATTGTGTGTGCGTGTGAATGTGTGTGTGTGTGCGTGTGTGTAAATGTTATATTACAAAACAGTTGAATAATGTTAAACGAATGAAATGAAAAACAAAAAAAGTAGACAAAAAATAAATAAACAAATAGATTAAATAGATAAGTGAATAAATAAAGAAAAGTAAAAATCCAACTATTCTTGAGAAACTTAGCTGGAGACCGAAGACCATGTTCAGTGCCCTTCCTTCAAACCAATTAACAGAGTATGCATTCTGAGCTACAGCCAGGGACTCACCACCAAACCTTTGTTCAATTAATTCACTTATTTTTCAATTAATTCACTTATTTTTCAATTAATTCGCTTATTCATTTATTATTTATTTCTTTTCATTTTTATAAGTATTAATTCAATTTGATCAAAATAAATAATAATTGACAAAAATTTGAATCAAAAGAAATGAGTTAAGTTAATGAATGAATATTAAACAGAGAGCCCAAAGAGTATCATTACTCTTATGAATTTCATCAGCTAAAAAATTAATCCACAAAAACACAAATAAACTAATTAATCAAATACTTAAATCACATAAAACAAATAAATTAATTGGTGAATTATTGAACTAAATTATAAAAAGAAAACAATGGAATTTCTAACCCAAATACAAATCTTCCAATGTACATAAGCCAAACAGCATTGAACAATGCCCCAGAAGCAAATAGCAACTATGGTGTGTGTGTGTGTGTGTGTGTGTGTGTGTGTGTGTGGGTACATGTATGTGTAACTATTTGTATTGATTTGTGTTGCACTGACTTTGTATATTAGAAATGTTTAAGGTGTGTTGTACATGACCTAAGCCTGGTGATATTGATATTAATTTATACTACACCCTACTTTGTATTGTTGTAAATGTTGTGTACAGTAAGCGCGTATTATTTTCTTTACATCAATATATATTGTATTGCATTGAATGAATTGAATGGAAGTGGATTCAACTTTAAATTAAATACAAAATTCAATAATTTTTAAAAGAAAGGTAAATTAACCTGTCCCAATGTAACAATAACAGAAAATATAATGGCCCCCCAACAGAGGCCAAAAACTTTATCGATGAGTAGGCCACCAAAGAAGCATAGAATGACGTTTGGCCAGGAGTAGAGGGAATAGAAGAGCATGTACTGGGATGTTGTCAGTTCCATATCCCGTTTGATGACATCCTGCAAGGCCCCAGGAGAGTCATAGCAATAATAACTGCCTGTGGTGTTAGCAGGTGGAAATTATTAATAAATCGATTTATTTATTGTTAAAACTCTAGAATTTGCAAACAAAAACATTATTTTTTAATTAAATTAAGAGGTGTAACAAATAGCATAATATATAATCAATCAGTAAAACAAGTCTCTCTGAAAAAAACTATTTCTTCTAACTAAACTTTTAAACAGCAAAATTTTACCAAAATAGATATACTTGATGACGAATTTTATGTGACAATTTGAAAAAATTAATAAGGTGGCCAAGTCAAGACTCAAGTTGACTGATATATCTATATAAATAACTACCAACTATCTTACCCCACCTAGCCCTGGCTGGAGAAAAGAGACTTTTTGGGGGGTTTATAATTTTATATTAACAATATTAAAAATATAAAAAAAAATACTAGTTAATTAAATTCACAACACACTACAAACTTAAAATAAAAACACTGACCAAACGACAGAAAGCAGATGAAACCAAGAATGAGATATCTGTGAAGCCATCTTCTCGGATCACATGCCAAACTAATTCTACCCACATGATCACTATTATCAAGTGTATCAGATTCAGGCACCGAGCCATGTATTGGCGCATCGTTTTCCGACATTTTTTATACAAAAATTATTTCAATTTAATTGAAAATTTTATTATTATATTTGCAAATTGTTTCTGATTTCGCAGCAATGAAATAAAATTCACTAATTCTACTCTAGCAATCGATCGGACTGAACATATGATCTCCTCGTAACTAAATTAACTTTTGACACAGTTTGAAACAGCAGAATAGAGATGGGCGATGTAAATTATTTTAGACCATTTTGGTACTATTTTTTACGGCACTCTAATTTTTTAAGTCTGACGTAGCGCGGCACACTAGCACCCGAACAAAAGCTCTTTCAAGCAATTAATCAATCAGCTAGTGAAAAAAAATCAATCAATAAATCGATCGATCAACCAGCCAGCCAGTCAGTCAACAACCTATTAATCAAATAGAAATATATAAAGAACAATAATAAGAATAATAATAATAATACATGCAGAAAGACCTGAAAACAAAAATTATACCATTATATATATACATAAGCATAAACAAGAGCAATTATTTGAAAAATACGATTGAGAGTTTATAATATCTTAATAGAATTTGTAACAATTACATATATATATATATATATATTTATATATATTTATATATAAATACATATACAGTCTCTTGTATAAACATATATTGTAATTTGTGTGTATATATATATGTATATATGTATAGATATTTCTAAAGAAAAATATCATTTGTGCAATTAACTTAATTCATTACATTAGAAACGTAGAAAACTCCTAGGTTACAACAATAATAAAAATTATGGTTAAAAATTTAAATTATTTAAATTAGTGTGTGTGTGATACAGAGAGAGAGAGAGAGAGAGAGAGAGAGAGAGAGAGAGAGAGAGAGAGAGAGAGAGAGAGAGAGAGAGAGAGAGAGAGAGAGAGAGAGAGAGAGAGAGAGAGAGAGAGAGAGAGAGAGAGAGAGAGAGAGAGAGAGAGAGAGAGAGAGAGAGAGAGAGAGAGGGAGGGAGGGAGAGAGAGAGAGAGAGAGAGAGAGAAAGAGAGAGAGAGAGAGAGAGAAAATATAGAAATATAGAAATCTGCACTCAGACGAAAACATCGTCCCACATCATCTACTATATCACCATTACCATCATCGACAACAACAACAGCAAAAACCTATCTACATATTATCATTATCATCAACAACAACAATAAAATAAGCAGACGAGTGGAGAGGCGAGTTAAATTTTAAATAAGAGCCTCGTATATTGTAGAACTTTTAAATAACATTTTATTTATGTTTAAATATACATATGTATGTGTACGTGTGTGCGATGTGTTTGTGTACGTGTGTATGTACGTGTTTGTTTGTTTAACAATCATTAAATTAATTTATGTAGACTAAAAGAATTAAAAAAATTAAAAAATCTGAGAAAACAAAGATGTATATAACAATGACCAAAAAAACAATAATTGAATCCCTTGGTAGAAAATGGAAGAAAATATTTAAACTAAAAAGAAACTAAAATTACTAAATTCGAACAAAAATTTAATTAATATCGTCAACATCATCTAAACACGCGCACACACACACACACTCACACGCACGCACATAAATATATACACATATACACACACACACATATACAAACTTACACGTAAATAAATAAATTTAAATAACATTACGAACACCATGGGATACAGTCTTTGCTACCAGTTAATGTTTTTTTGATATCTTTCATTAAAAAATGTCTACCCATATGTAGGTATGTTACTATGTATGTGTGCCTGTATGTATGAATATGTGATGTTTTTTGTCTGTGTGTGTGTGTGCTTGTGTGCATGAAAAGTGTCAATTTCGTAAATAAGACATGATTGATTAGAAACTCATTCTCTTACTCGTTCACACTCATTCATTCATTCGCTCGTCCATCCGTACACTTATTTATTTACTTATTTATTCGTTTATTCATTAATTTCATTCATTCATTCATTCATTCCATTTATTCATTCATTAATTTCGCGTAACTTCTTCATCAGAATGTCGATCAGTTTGGCCTGTGGGTGGTTATTGACGTTAAAAACATCATCATCATCACAACCATCACCATCCCAATAACCACCATAATCATTCCAATAACCACCATCATCATCACTATCAAGACCTGCTTAGTCGAGATGACGAAATCTGGTTTCTTGGAGCTACTATTCTTCCTAATGTGTAACTCACATATCCTATCTAGAGCCACCAGGCACCACATCATGTCTCTGTATACGAAACTCTTTATCAGTGCCTATAAAAGTGTGTGTGTGTATATGTGAATGTGTCTGTGTGGTGAATGAATGAATGAATGAATGAATGAATGAATGAATGAATGAATGAATGGGTAAACGAACAAACGAATGAATGAATGAATGAATGAATGAATGAATGAATGAATGAATGAATGAATGAATGAATGAATGAATGAAGTAATAAGCAATTTATGGACTAAATACACAAAAACAACAGCAATAATAATAATAATAATAACAATAATATTAACAATAATATCAATAATAATATTTATAATAATAAAAATAATAATTACTCTAGGATCAATCGTAATAACGTGCAGGCCTACATCGTTGACGCCAAGGAAGACCGATATCCAACTGGAAGCTTTCATCTGTCAACAACAACAACAAAAAAAAACAACAATAACAACTACAACAACAACAGCAATAATAATAATAACAATAATAATAACAACAACAATAATAACAACAACAATAATAACAACAACAGCTGACTTTAGATTTAATATAGCCGGTGAAAAATGCACAGCCGTACGTCGTAAGAGACCTGCACATCTTCAAGAAATACAACTGATGCAACTGTGAGTGAGGAGAATAATAATAATAATAACTATAATAATAATTAATTATTCATTTATAATAATAACTATAATAATAATTAATTAATTATAGAGAACATCCTTTTGTTTTCATTTTAAAACAAACATTGTAATTATAAAGTTAAAGTAATAAAACTTAAAATTTAAATTATATGGATAATCAATCTACAATGCTCGCCATTCATTTTAAATGGGTTCAAAGAGAAATAGAATCCGCATTAAATTATGCTCAAATCGTGTTCCTATCACAGTAAATTGCGTAAGATGACGATACTACGGAGTTAATTAAACTTCTATGAAAAGGGTCAGGCCAAATAAAATTAATTAATGATAGTTTAAAATATTTAAAAAAAACCTAGCGGGGAAATTTCAAATGAATTTATTATAATATTTGAGCTTTTCAATTCGTCTTTCAAATTGTTATTAAGATTTTGAAAGTATTTCGATGTTTTATATTCCTTAGACTTAGAGAAGTTAGATTCGTGGCAAACTGTTACTATAATAATAATAATAATAATAACAATAATAATAAATACTATGATGTCGTAACAATAATTTTCATGATTGTTGCATACCTTGCTAGGCTTCGAGTACATATATACGTATATACATACATACATACGTACATACATACACACAAACATACACACACCACAGAGAGAGAAAGAGAGAGAGAGAGAGAGAGAGAGAAGGAGGTAGAGAGAGAAAGAGAGGGAGAGAGAGAGAGAGAGAGAGAAAGAGAACATACAGCTCTATTGTTACTATCTAGTTTTCTGCTGTAGACTTTGTACTGTTCCAGTACATTACGAATCCAGTAGCTAGGATTCTGCTTGTTGATCATGTGCTGTGGAATCATTATGTCTAACAGATTGAATCTGAGAGAGAGAGAGAGAGGGAGAGAGGAAGTTTACGAATGTTGTCATCATTTTTGGACGTATTAACTACATAATTGATTGGTTAAGTGGCTAAATCGATTGTATGAAAGAATTGAAGGAATGAATTGAAGGAATGAATTGAACGAACGAATGAATGAATGAATGAATGAATGAATGAATGAATGAATGAATGAATGAATGAATGAATGAATGAATGAATGAATGAATGAATGAATGAATGAATGAATGAATGGATGAATGAATGAAATGATTGATTATGAATAATTAGAAGAAATGAATAAATAAAACGATTCAATGAATGAATGAATGAGTGAATGAGTGAATGAATGAATGAACGAATGAATGAAAGAACGAACGAACGAACGAACGAACTCATTGTTCTGGAAGTAGTTACTACTATTTTCATCGTACTGCCCGTAGAAGAGGTGCATGATGACGCCAGACATGAAGATGACGTCCTTCTCATTGCACAGGTACAGAGATTTCGTATAATTGTAATAGGACTCTATGAAGAGGTAGTTGATGGCTATGGCGTTGTTCACCTAGTCAAAATTATAATACAAAATTATAATTTTATTATTATTATTTTTATATTTATTTATTTATAATTATTTGAATCTTTAATCTTTATAACTTTTATTGTTTGTATCGTGTCATAAAACCAAAAAAAAAAGAGACCAAATTTTCATCTTTGAGGGATAGTAAAACATCACGCCGCCAGTACAATTCCGGCTCTTCCTTGTCGTTTGATTGGTCGGTAAACTGACCAATGATACTAGTCTTCCAGCTGTTCAGATGTTCTATTGGCTTGTGGTGGGATTTTAACTGGAGCTCTGCCAAATCAGAATGAAGGTAAATGAACGAGTGACTAGATGACTGGATGAACGAACGAGTGAATGATTGACTGACTGAATGAATGAATGAATGAATGAATGAATGAATGAATGAACAAATAGATGAATGAATAGGTAAAAAGAAGTAAGCAATAGAATTGTTTTATTCACGGGCATCCAGAATACAATTAAACACAAACGAAAATTTAACAAATTATAACAATAAATTATAAATAAATTATAACTAATCAGAGAACCATTAATTATGAATAATTATGAAATATTTAATATAATAAATAATAAAATCATAATAAAACAACGTAGATTTGGAGAGCATATCCATATCGTGAATATCTTTGAGCAACTTTCTGGAAGCTTCAATATCTGAAATGGCGGATTAAAAAGCAAGACGTCATCCAAACCGAAAGCTTTAACCAAACGTCAGATAACTTAATATTCCAGCCAATCAACTAGCCAGCAAACCAATCAATCAAACAACCAACCAATCAAGCAACCAACCAATCAACCAACCAGCCAATCAACCAACCAATCAATCAATCAACCTACCAAGCAATCAACCAGCCAACCAATCAATCAACCAACCAACAAACCAATCAATCAGCCTACCACCAATCAATCAACCAACCAATCAAAGAACCAACCGATCAAAGAACCAACCGATCAATCAGCCGACCAATCAAACAACTAACAGTCATCATCTGTTTGTGCAACTGCTCAACGGTTGTCTCGGCATTTGAGGTCAGTACCAGCCTCTTACACGATCCATCCATCAAATTGACATCTATGTATCCAGTCTATGTGTGTGTGTGTGTGTGAGAGTGTGTGTGTAAGTACATTTACAAATATACAGTGTGTGTAAAGATTTGAGTATAGTAAATATATATGTATATATAAATACAATATACATTATTATTATTATTGCTATTGAGCATTTATTTATATAGCTCTTTACAAAAACGTCTCGAAAGCGCAATGTTAAAAATTACACAATCATCTTCAAGGTCTTCCTCCTCCAAAAACAGTACATGGATAAACATTGTCTAGATTGCTATAGTTGCTGCCTAATTTTCAATCCCTAATTCGAGAGTAACAGCCGGCCGTGAAGAAACTTCAGTGACGTCGATTAGATCAAGAAATTTGCTATAGAATGAAGTAAGGACAGACAAAATGAAGTTGGCGATTGATCTTTGACAATTCTCGCATTTCAATTGTATAAGATAACGTGTATATATATACTTATATATGTATACTTATATATATATATAATACATATATATATATATATATATATACATACAATACATAAATATACATACATATATACATACAATACAATTCAAATACAATACATATATATAACGCACATGAAAACAATATTACAGTTATCAATAGTAATATAAGTACGCTTATGAATATTATTCATAGTAGTAATTAAAATACCACAACTACTGATAATGATGATAGCAATGAAATCTGATAGCAATAGAGAGAATAACAAATATAAAGAAGAATAAAGCCCACGGGTTGTTCAAATCTCCTCTTAATCAGTCTGTAGCAGTCTTGCAGGTTAGCAGTTGGATTGTCAACAACAGCGCAGTACTGTATGGCTTTTTTGTTGTATTTATCTATCAGCTCCTGTGTTGGTATGCGTGTGTGTGTGTGTGTCTCACCTCTGTATGTATATATGTATGTGCATGTGTATGTGTAAAAATTTTGCGTGCATACAGACGAGAAAGCAGCTGCAAGTTAAGCCAACCGTATCCACGCCCTTTTGCAGTAGCAGGTCTACAATTTGGGGCTTGCCATTGAGGGCTGCTACGTGTAGTAGGGACTGGCCAAAATGGTTCACTTCATTTATGTCCACCCTGGACACCTCTAGCATCAGTTCGAGGATGTCCCTGAAACCAAGTCTGGTAATACGTGATGTTCGCCGGTTTGTTTGTTTGTATTCATTCATTCATTCATTCATTCATTCATTCATTCATTCATTCATTCATTCATTCACTTGTTTTTTTCAACATTAAAGCAGTTTTTTAAAACTTATCTAACGATCTAATACACTCGTACAGCGTAAATTTCTTAAGAGTCAATTAAGAAGAGTAACAAAATTAAGTGCTTTTAATGAATTGCGAAATGATAATATTCAAATGTAACCATATCACAACGTTATATTCGTTCACTCACTTGTTTATTTCTTCACTTCATTCATTCATTCATTCATTTATTCATTCATTCGTTCGTTCGTTCATCCATTCATTCATCCATTCATTCATTCATTCATTCATTCATTCATTCATTCATTCATTCATTCATCTATCCATCCATCCATCCATCCATTCATTCATTCATCCATTCATTCATCCATTCATCCATCCATCCATTCATTTATCCATCCATAAATCCATCCATCCACCCACTCATTCATTCATCCATTCATACGCTCTCTCTCTCTCTCTCACTCAGCAGCCAGATGCAGAGGTGTCTCGAAATATTTATTCATCTGTAGTACTGAGTAATTCAGAGCCAGGCAGTGCCTGACCCCCTCGACGTTCTCAAGCCTCACACTCTTGTGCAGTGGAAAATTGTTCTTCATGCATTGTCTGAACATTTTATCATCATCATCATTATTAATTATTATTATTATTTATTATTATTATTATTTATTATTATTACTACTATTTATTAATATTATTAGTATTATTACTAATATTATTATTATTATTTATTATTATTATTTTTTTTAATCATGTTAATGCATTTATTATTACTACTACTATTATTATTATTATTATTACTAATATTATTATTATTATTTATAATTATTATTTTTTTTAATCATGTTTCCCGTTCATGCATAATGTGATTGCTGTTATAATTAATGCGATCGTTGATGTTAAGCATGGCAGAGTAGTATTTCAATGTAGGTGTTGAAATAATTAGTAACAACAGCAATAACAATAACAACAATAGCAGCAACAATAGCAACAATAATTTTTAATGCTGACCTGCCAGCAGAACTGGATATAAAGCTGATGGCATTTGATTCGCTGTTGCGGAACTGCTGCTGATACTGCTGCAGATGATTGTTGTAACTGCTGTTGTTGTTGTTGTTGATGATGTTGTTGTTGATGTTGTAGGAAGAGGAAGATGACGTCAGAATGTTGCGAGATGGCGACTTGCCCCAATGGGGATTCCTCACCAGCCTGTCCACCTAATTTGGTGTCGACGTCATTCAGTGATGTCATTAACGATATTGCAGTTATATCAAAAGAAAAACGTCAATAAAACATCAAAAAAGCATCAAAAATCACTAAAAAAAACATAAAAAAAACATTAAAAACGTCATAAAATCATCAAAAAACATCAGAAACAACATCAACTGGCATGACAGAACCACAATCCGAACCTTATATTTAAATGATCTACTAGAGCCGAAGAGAGAGTTAGCCACGACGATATTACATCTATCCTTGTTCATCATCAGTGACAGCAGCTCTTTGCACAACTGTTCATCTTCATTTGTTGACGTCTTCCTAACAAACGGATAGTTCGGATGGTTCTGCACAAAGGCCGGGTTTGATATCGACCATTTAAATCTAGAATTTTTCATTTTTGGAGGAGGTGTATATATGTATATATATATATATATATATAGTTTGCATTTGTATTTTACTTAATATCAAATATACACATAAACACAAATACAACGGCATAGACAGGAAAAACATAGACACAAACAGACCTATCCTCGGCTGGAGATGAGAATAAAAACTTGAGAGCACCGGGCCTAGAATGCAAGTCAAGCAGCCAACTGTCAACCAATCAAATTTAAGCTGTCACTAATCAATCAATTAAGTTGGAAAATAAATAAAGATTAAAAAAATCAAAGATTATTTTATCTTAAAATCAATAATACTATCGATAAACTTGAAATAATAAAAGTCAAATAAAACAAAACTGAATGCTAACAGATAAAAGATTAAACTTAGTAAGCAAATAACCTTTGTAATCTGATAGCTATAGGATTAACTCTGTCATTTTTATTGATAACATTGAGCATCCATTTATCTAGGGTTATAAACTTTGCTGCTCTGGATGGCACAGCCTTCAATTGGTGACCATTCTGAACTGCTGGTTTACAAATATCTAGAACAAACAAAAAAAAAACGAAAAATCAGTAGTTAAGTAATCATCTATTGAATTGATAAATTAGTAAGTTTGCTCTAAAATGGTAATATAGTAGGTAAGTGAGTGAGTAAATTTGAAATTTATAGCACCTTTGCATGTGTAGGTATCATTAAATTACACACAAACTATTGATTTGTGAACCAGCAACTAAGCAATTAAGTGAGTAAACTACATTGATATTCTTGAGACAAATACTTAAAGACATAAATATTAATTTTAGCTGGCAAGCAAAATAACTTCAGATTAATAAAAAATTGATTGGAAGGATCAGCCTTGGCTGACAAATAAATGCCAGAACAAGCAAAAACGCGAATAAATTTAAATGTAGGCAAATTGGTAGTCTAATAAATTAATAAGTATATAAGCTATTAATTGCATGAATTAATATTTGTTTAAATTAATATTCACATAAATATTTACATAAATTAAACATAAATTAGTAAAATTAACCATCTATTATCTCACCATTATAATCAAGAGGTATACAGTACAATGCTTCTGTTTCATCATTAGAGGCTGGAACATACAAGACTCTTTTGCCTAAGTGAAAAAAAGATTTATAATTAAATTATATTTACCATAACTATAATTATTATAATTAAATATATTAATTATAACTAAATATTTTAATAACTATTCTTAGGTGACATGGTAAGTTAGTTATCACTTTCACATAATTGCTCAGCTGTGAAAAGCTTGATGATAAAACTTTGATCATAACATAACACATTTTTATATTAGAATAAAAAGAGCTTGCTTAAATTTATAATAAAATATGCTGTTTAACAATTCACTTTTAAAATAAATAAAAAATAAAAAAGCTTAAAACAAGCTAACAACAAGTTGTTCAGCAATAAATAAATAAATAATAAAGAAATAAAGTGCTGATGATTAGTAGTACCTTTTAACCTGTCATTCTCTCCACCAGTGATGGCAGACAGATGTTGCAGGAGCAGATGTGTTGGTTCCCCATCTAACAGAATGTTAGTGCAAGGCAGCTTGTTGTCTTCCAACAATATTTCATAGTTATTTAATTTAAATTCACCATCTGACAAAACTTTGCTTCTGGGTTTTATCGCCACAATCGTTACTTCCATAGCTCTAGTCAGCGCATATTAATTCAATTTTGATTTTTCAATGGGTGATTTCACTAACTTTCAGTATTTTAGATTTACACAGTAGAGGTAGGACAGGTAGGACATTTTTGGGATTTATTAATCAGTGAAACCAACTGAAAAAAAATGTCATTTTATTAAATTATACAGTATATGGCTTAACACATTAAAAAGTTTAAACAGAACTGCCTTAACATTGTATAATAAATGAATTATAATACAAATCACTACATCCTAAATTACTAAATATTTTATAAATTGTAAATTCAATTTTAAAAAATAATTTAAATTTAGTAATTAATTCATTTTACAATTACTTTTTTTTAATTTTTAATTTTATATTGTCACCACAAGATTGATCACAAATGAAGCTAAATTATAAGTTTAACAACCAAAAAAATTTTACTTTATTGGTAACATGTTACGCAAAACCAATAAAATAACAAATTTAATAGAAATTTACATAAAATTTTGTTAAATTAATCGAGAAATAGAATTAATTAGCACTAATAAATTTTTATTTAAGGTGCCATCATATAGGTAAGTTTACGTTCGTTACGTTAATAACGATAAAGCTCCAATTCTCGTCTGGCTTTTAAAATCTTCAAAATATTATTTGATTTTATTCTATTACTGTATAAAATTATCATTTATAAAGTATATTTAACATATTAAACACAGTATATGGTTTTAAAATGTTCAGATATTAATCTATAAAACGTATTTTGTCATTTCTTAAAACATTCAAATTTTATTGAGCTTGCTGGTAAATAATAAACTTAGTTATCTTTGTTGTTTTTTAGATTTCAAATTATCGCTCTTTGATGTGTTTAGTAAGTTTAAATAATTTTTTGTTTATAAAAACGAAATCTTTTTTGAAAGTGAGAAATGGAAGAAAAACAGTTACCGTGGGGCTTGAATGCAAAAACTTTGGCTCCGGGTTCAATGAAAGTAATTGCAGTTTTATTTATTTTATTTCATAATTTAGTTATTTTTATAGACAGTTCAACCATCAGCAAGATTTATTTTATATTTAATATTTTTATATTAAGATTTATTTTATATTTAATCATGAAATATTAATCTTCATTTTTTAATTGAATCATGATTAGTGCAGTTCTCATCAAATATTAATTATTAAAGTAAAACTGAAAAGAAATCTAATTTGCTGTTTTCCTCAAAATATTTTTATCCAATTTATCATTTTTTTAGAACCTGACAGAAGATAAGCTAAAAGCTTTCAATGTTGGGACCATGAATGCCTTGAAGGTTGTCTCAAAAAAAGAATTGGAAGAACTGAAAAAGAAGGTGAAACTTATTTATTCATTTAAATTAAATAATTAATAATAAATAATTAATTTAATAAATAAATTAAGTATTTAAGTTCAAATTGAAGATTGAATAATTATTAATAATTAAATTAAGTATTTAAGTTCAAATTGAAATTGCAGTTGAAGATTGAATAACAGGACCAAACAACACAACAAATATTTTGCGTATTCTACTAGTAACTAACCATTTAATGTAACTTTTTAAAAAAGATTTTTACATTTTTTTACTAACTCCAAATGATTTGTTTACAGAAAGACCAAGAGGAAACAGAAGAGGTGTATAAAGAGTTTGTTGAGTCATTCGAGAAGGGTGAAAAAGGATTAAATAGGTCTTGGATCAAAGGGGGTGTGGTCAACCCCGAAAAAGGTCACCCACTTATTCATTCATTCTTTCATTACTCATATATCTTAGATTTTCACTTTTTATCATTGTAGTTTTACTAACATTATGCCCATTCCCACTGACCTCATCATTATCTTACTTCTTAAACCATTTCATCAAGTTGATAATTTATTGAAATTGTTTTTTAAATATTATTTTTTTACTATGGAATTGTTATTTTTTCAACTTTGTTACCTTCAGGCACGGAAAAACCCAGCATAACTAAACTATACAAACCGACAAGCAAGCTGATAGAGAAGAAAGATGTACTAACAGCTATGAAAGTGAAAGAAGAAAAGATAGAAAAACCGGTTAGGCTATTTATATAAAGCACTTTTATGTAAATTTTATTTTGTTGTTATTATAATTTTTCACGTATTTAATTTAATTCTATCTATGCAGATATAACTTTTTTTTTATTCAGCCACCTTTAAAGAAGAAAACGATAACTGCTCCAGAGAAGAAAAAAACCAATTTAGAGTTGTTTAAAGAGGAGTTGAAAGTGTTAGTCAATCGTTTAATCGATTAACCAAACACACACACACATGCGTACACACACACACATTGACACACTCACATTACACAGGATTCAAGAAGAAAGACAGGAGCGTAGAAAAGTCAGACAGGATCTTGGACTTATCCCGTCCGATCCCACGTTGGGAATAAGTGGTGGGAGCGGCGGTGGGAGCATCCTTGGCAAGGATATATTCCTTCAGGATGATGAGCCGATCGCAGCTGGGATAAGTATGGGAATCATGCCCACAGGTTCCTCGATCTGCATCTCGATCTTTATGTCCTTGTCAATAATCTAACTTCAAATTTTCATTCCATTGCAACAATTTTATGGTTTTTTGTGAAGATTAAAACCGGACTTAAATTATAATTTATATATATTTTTCCACAATTATTGCCCCACCGCAGCCGACGAAATGAAGTTAGGCAGCTTCACTTATGATAACGACACTCAAACGACTAATCTATATCTCGGCAATCTTAATCCTAAGGTGTTTTTATTTGTATCATCACTATCATCATCACCATCATCATCATCATTATTATCTTCATCATCGTCGTTGTCATCATCATTATCTTCATCACCATCATCGTCATCATCATTATCTTCATCACCTCCATCATTGTCGTCGTCATCATTATCTTCATCATCGTCGTCATTAGTGTTCATATCGTCGTGCCTATCGTTGTCATTTCCTTGATATAAATATTATTATCATTATCATCGTAATTATCAGATGACGGAGATGCAAATATGTGACATCTTCGGCAAATACGGACCCCTTGCGAGTGTCAAGGTCATGTGGCCAAGGACAGATGAGGAGAAGGCTAGAGGGAGAAATTGCGGTTTTGTAGCCTACATGAATAGGAAGGATGCAGAGAGGGCCTATAATAATTTACAAGGTCTGCGCTATGATTGGCTGGTTTTTAATGCTACCCGTTTGTGATTGGGCAGTTCGTTTAGAATAATTCTGGTTTGTGGTTGGTTGGTTTATAATTTGTCGTTTTCTGTATTGTGATTCGTTGGTTCGTAATTTTCATAGTCTGTGGTTGGTTGGTTTCGATGTTGAGTGATCCCTGATTGGTCAGATTTTGGTACAGAAAGTTTTTCTTAAAGTCTGTTTATAATAATGATTTGCAAAACATCAAATATACACAATTACACATACACACACACGCAACAGGTAAGGAGATACAAGAATTTGAAATGAAACTTGGTTGGGGTAAGTCAGTCCCTATACCACCACACCCCGTTTACATACCCCCCGCTCTCTCCGAACTCACTCTGCCCCCTCCACCATCTGGCCAGCCCTTCAATGCTCAGCCAATCAAAAAACGACAAAATAATAGTGGTAATAATAGCAGTGAGAACTCTGTCGATGATGAAAAGGTCTTTTCGATGTTTCATTCATCTGCATGCTTGTATTTCTGTTATTTTGGTGGCTATTATCGTTAATTATGGTATTAATATTTATATTATTAATAGTTTTATTAATAATTTCTTGCGAATTCTGAATATTTTTTGTATATTTTTTGTTGCCTCTTCTTTTCAGAGTTTGGCAAATTTTGTTGTTAAAGTTGTCATCCCGACCGAAAAGTAACCTTTATTCATTTTTTCATTCGTTCATTCATTTGTCTATTTGATCATTCACGCATTCCTACTTTCATTCATTCATTCATTAATTCATCCATTCATTCATTCATTGTTGAATTATTAACAGGATGTTGTTGTGCATAATTCATCGGATGGTCGAGTTTGTCGTTCGCGAGGGGCCTATGTTTGAGGCCATGATCATGAATAGGGAGATCCAGAATCCTATGTTTAGGTTGCTTTGTTAATGGAGTAACTGATTGTTTGAGTGATTGATCGATTGTTTGAGTGAGTAATTGAATGGTTGAGTGATTGATTGATTGTGTCGTTGATTGATTGAGTCATTGATTGATTGAGTCAATGAATGATTTGGTTGATTAGCTAGCTGCCCATCTTGCTAGTTGGCTGGCTGGCTGATTAATTGATTAATTAATTGATTGATTAATTAATTAATTAATTGATTGGTTTATTGATTGATTGTAGGTTCTTATTTGAAAACCAAAGCCCTGCGCATATATATTATAGATGGAAGTTGTTTTCAATATTGCAGGTTCGTACTCTCAATTGTTTCAACACTCTTTTAGTGGTGTCAGTTGTTGTAATGGTGACGACGACGATGATGATAGGAGTGATAGTAATGATGATGATAGGAGTGATTGTAATGATGACGATGATCGTTCGTTGATTTATCCACACACACACACACACACACGCACACAAACAAATACAGGGTGACTCGCCATACTCGTGGAGGTCAGATGATTTTTACATGTTTGAAGGTGGCTCTGTCTGGAGACCACCAAAGATGAATCCATTTACGCAGGGTTTGTTTGTTTTTTTGTGTATGTTTGTTTATGTTCGTTTGTTTGTTTGTGTTTTTGTTTGTTTGTTTGTCTGTCTGTTGATTTTGTCAGAGGAGGTTTTTACTATTTATCACTTGTCTATTCAGTCACGTGTGAACCAACCAATCAAACTATTGAACCAATCAACCAACCAACCAACCAATCAAACCATTCAACTATCCAACCAGGCATGCCGGACGAATTAGTGGTAGACATCCCGTTGAAATCAAGCAGTAACGACAGCCACAAAATATCCACCGCCGAATCGTCAGCCCTTGAGGACGCCAAGAAATCCACCCTTAGTGACGGACAGCGTGATAAACTGGAGGACATGTTGCGTGACCTCACGCCCGAAAGGTCAAAGGTCGCGGATTGTATGGTCTGGTGTCTCAACCATGCTGAGAACGCAGAGGAAATTGTGGACTGCATTGCTGAGTCCATGTCTATTCTTGAGACGCCGATACCAAAAAAGGTTGCTCTGCTGCTGTTTTGGTTGCGGCTGTGGTTGCTGTTAGTCTAATGGCTAATAATAATTTAAATATTAATAACTTTTTATTTATATAGCGCCCTATTTTTCTAACTTGTATTGATTATTTTCAAATTTGTACCCATCACAGACAGCCAGGCTCTTCCTGATATCTGACTTGTTGCACAACAGCAGTGCACGCGTTGCACATGCATCATATTTTCGCCGACAGTAAGTTATGATGGTGATGTTGATGATGAGGATGATGATGAGGATTCATGATGATTGCACCGACAGTTTTGAGCAGAAGTTGCCCGATATCTTCAAAGATATACATGACGCGCATGAGAAAATTGATGCCAGGCTGAAGGCTGAGCAGTTTAAAGTTGGTAGTTCGCTCTGGTTGTTCTTTGTTCGTTTGTCGATCTTTTTCAATCCTTATTTCCCAATTATCACCCACTGAACCACCCAGCAAAAAGTGATGTCCTGTTTCAGGGCCTGGGAAGATTGGGCCGTCTACACGGGGGACTTCCTCATCAAACTGCAAAACATCTTCCTCGGTCTTGTACTACCTAAGGGGCCAAAGGTCAAGGTCAGTTGGGGCGCGTTGATTTCTTTTGGTAGTAAGAATAACTCTCTTTTTTTTCTTGTTTTCTTTTGACGATGACGACGACGGTGGTACTAGCACACACACACACACAAACAGCCGGAAGAATATCAGGACGACCTTGACAATGATGTAGACGGCATCCCATTGGACGAGCTGGATGGCGTTCCCATAGAGACGAACAAACTGGCCGGTTACGACAGCAGTGGCGGCGACGATGACGATCCTGTCACTAAATCGCTACTGGCGTACGTCAGTGGTAGTAGTGGTGACGTTTCGACGGCTGGTGGCTGTGGTAGTAGTACTGTGGACGGTGAGTTTTTGGGTGAGGTTGGGTTGTTTGTTGTTGTTTGTTGTTACGCTGTCAAGTTGCTT